CTTCTTCTTGTCTCTTTGCTGACGATGTCTTTTGCGTCACAAATATTTTCGAAGGACAAAAATGTATTGACGAGCTTCTTCTTTGGTGTGATATAAATGAGGTAAAATTAAACATAAACAAATGTCAATGAATTTTATTTTCCAACTCTGCAAAAACACTTCCATCGCTTACTCTTCCAATAAAAAACATTAATATTATGCGTGTTTCATCTGTGATACTACTTGTGTTATTATCTCGCATAATTTAACGTGAAAATATCACATTGAGTATGTTTCAATAAAATCTCGGCAAATGTTAGGCTCTATTTCCAGAATTTTTCGAGGCTCGCCCTCGTTTTTACTTACGTTGCCATCTGTATAAAACTTGTGTAAGACCAGTGCTCGAATATGCTTGTGTTATCTATGATTCAACCTTTACCACTCACCTTAATATTCCGAACAAAATTCAGCATCTTGCTAGTAGAATTATCTCTCAAGACTTTAACAGTTTCTCCTCTTATTTGCTCAAAAAACTTAAAATTCAACCACTTCCTAACAGACGTCTCTACTATCGCCTTCTATACTTTCATAAAATATTCCATAATAAAAGTCCTCTCTCATCGTTTGATTTGATCTCACCGCTAACTACGCGTCAAAGTTCTTAATTAGGTCATAATAATAGCGTTTTCATTCCTCGTCTAAAGCTAAAATCTGCATCCGGCTCTTTCGTTCTACGTGGCTCCAAGGAATGGAATGAACTTCCTTCGGTTTTAGCATGTCAGTCTTCTTTATCTGTATTTAAACGTATGTTAAGATGTCATCTAGGCTTTCAATAATTTTTATGTTTAGATCTACTGTGCTCTTAAAACGTATTACACATATGTTTTCTCTCACAATGTATGTGTTATAGTAGCGATTCTTCTTAGAAACTTTTTAGTTTAGGTTATCATGAGGTGTCTCCGGATGCTACAAGTCCTTTTGGCGCTTTTTTGTGATATTCTAACTTTGTGTAAAATTTCACCTATCCGTGCCTTTTGTATTGATGGGAGAGCGTGTAGAAGAAAATCTACTCTGAAAAAATCGATGCAAAACTTTAATATTGAACGGACTATTTAGTCAGATAGCCCATAGTGTCTATTATCAAAAGTCCACATGACTTATGTGAAGATCAAACCTGCATGATTTTGGAAAGATTATTAAAATAAGGTTTCCATATGTCGCTACTTTAAACATTCTTACCAACCGACCCAGTTGGCGTGTTACATCAGAATCCTATCTCGGCAACCACCATACAAAATCGTATGAAACTCAGGTCTTAAGGGTTTCTCAATGTCTTCTTTCTTTTACTCTCTAGAAACTTTTCTCCAAACTCTTGAAAATAGTGTTTCCAAAAAACCGAGCTTTGTGCAGCGAAGTACAAAACCGAGACTCTTTTCTATAGAGCAGCCGATGGTGGCGCTAGTGTCGAGAGACCATGTACGAGATATTTTTGACTTCGTTGGTCATAAAAAGTTGGAAAAGCAAACATTAAAGTAAAAATGAAAATGAAATTAAAGCAAAATTTAAAAAAGGTTCCCTGTATATCTCCTAGACAACACTGATCACGTGACATATGAACATCGCCAACTATTCAGTTTTGTCGTATTTTTAATTCTCTATTTAATCACATTTGAATCAAGTCTCTATCACTTATTCTTGCCGAGTTGTATCAAATTTAAAAAAACTTAAATTTGAAATTTTAAAAATTTAATTAAAAAATTTAATTTTGAGTAGGGGATCCGAATTTTTTTCAAAACGTTCGAAATTCGATGCTGAATTCGAACTTCAAAAGTTTTTTGAGTCGTATCGATTTTCTCAAAACTCATTTTAATCAGTTCTGGTAGGTCAAAAACCTCGGTTTTCTGGAAACCCTATTTCCAAGGATTTTGGAGAAAAGTTTGTAGAGAGTAAAAGAAAGAAGACCTTGAGAAACCCTTCAGACCTGAGTTTCAAATGAATATGCTCAGTGTGTAAGGAGTTAGCCTACACCAACTTCCTGGTATAGCACGCCTATTGTGACCACAGCAACATTGTAAACGAAATAGTTTACTCATTATCGTACTAATAATGACTGTTAGCCTATTATCAGGAGATTTGAAATAGGACATTTGACAACAAGAAGAAATGATAAAGTAACACAATAGCATTTAAGTACACTGATCTTGACGAAAAGTTTGATATCAGGTTGAGAAAAGATGAGATGGAGTTTTGCCAGAACTAAGAATAAAACGATGTCTTAAAGAGGTGGTTGACACTTATTTTTGATTACTACCAGATTCTAACACGATCACCCAGCCAATAGAAGCTGATCACGAATCGCCATGGTAATGGACAGCTATTTAGATCAATTGGTATCTCATAAGTTTTCCTTGTTCGTTTGTTGACAAGTCGAATTCTTTTCTCATCACAATCGAAAATTATATCGATGATGTCATATTGTTTCATATCATTGTCGTACCCACCATATCCTCGACCACTCTCACCTTTCAAATAAACATTTTTTACTGGCACAGCATTGTCGCCAACCCATCCATATGCTGATGAAGACTTGTAAGCATCTGCTTTCAACGATGTCGAAGTCGATATTACACCAAAAAAGAGCCAGTGCATTTGTTCGATATAAAGTGATAGACAATGAGTACCACTAGAATAGCGATTTGCACCATAAACACTTGCATTTGGATGGAATATATCACCTGTGTGAGTAGCTACACGACCGTTGTCTGACAATGCTATATCACCAATCACGCGATCAAATCTTTCTCCTCCAGAGTGAGAGTAATACAGTGCTGGCATTATACTCACTTCAAGCATGTTGATTGTCGTCGATAAATGATCATTAACTTTTATATTTTCAAGCGAGTCTATGTCATGTTTTACTTTTTCTAGCTCTTGTTTCCATTTATCCAAATCAGGTTCAACGAAATCTCCAGAAGTTCGTTTCGCTCCAATCTCGTCCGTGAATACTTGAAAGTTTGTTCTCATTTCTTCTTTTCTGACATTTATTAATCGGCACAAGTTCATTCTGGCCTCTTCTGCCACCGCTTTTATTTTCCTTATTGACTCTTCTTCCCATCGATCGATTTCTTGTGTACAATTCATCGGACGGCTTTGCAGTTGTTGTTTGATAGAATCATGTTCCAAAACAATTTTGTCCAACTCTTCATGCAATGCTTGGTAGTGTTCGTTCGAGTGTTTTCGACAAAACGTTTGTTGACAACCGCTGCATGGAAAAAGCCCAATGCCCTTATGACAGTCAGGATTAGCACATGCTGTTCTAGATGCCATAATCAATATGAGAGTGAATAATTGAGTTTCTTAGAAATGATGAAGAAGAAGGAGAAATAACGATGAAACAATGATATCAGTTGATTATTTGTATTCGATGTAAGATAAGAGAAGGTATGTTCGCAAGTGAATGTTGTTGCACTTGAGTCATCCGAAAAGAGAAAAAATAAGTTTACTCATCTTTTCCTCTTTAAAGAAAGAAGACAAAAAGTCTGATAGCGTGAAGATTACGGGCTTGTTAAGTAAACGTGCCTTACAGCTGCAAAGCAGAATGAATGTATCATTTTTCTCGCTTTGAGTAATTATCGTATTGTTGTTATACTTTGAAAAGTGTGTTTCTGTTAGTAGTGCGTGTGTGTCCTGACAGTCGACTGTATTTTACGCTGCTAAAAGAGCCGACTCCATCTGTTCCGAGCCCCGGGATATTTACGAGATCAGCTACATTTATCAGGATGTGTTGTGTGGCATACCTCTGGTGGCCTCAACAACAATCTTCCAGTTCATATCTGTTAAAGTCTTTTGAATTTGTTTTGTGAATAATTGAATACAAAATTGATTCGGTTGCAAAACTGTATTAGTATAGCTTTGTTTTTAAGGACTACCATTCGAAAAGAGCGTGTACAAGAGAAAAGCCAAAATAATAACGTCACACTTTGCGAGACGTTTTTGCCTAATATACTTCATCGAAATCTAACTTCAAAATGGTGAGAAAATAGTCCTTCACATACAAAATCTAATGTCAAATGGATAAAGGCCAAAGCGTTTTCGTTTACCCACTGAAAATAGATTCAAAACGTTTTGCGTTTCGGGTCATAAAAATGCGTGTTTTTACACTTTCTACGCGAGATTACGAAGAAAAAATTTCTGAAATATTTTCGAAGCAGAGCACAAGATTGTTTCGCGAGATACCTGAAGTTTTTTTTAGTGAATCCCTCATATTTCCAAAATAATTCTTTTTCACATCGAGAAATTAACCGTACAATAGGAGTTTTATTTTAACATTAACTCTCGCTAAATAAATGAATATCTCACGTTTACGACATACAAAAGCGCAATCTTCAGCTATACGTTAAAAAGGGTTTTTTTAAAAATTGATCTTTTCAAAATTTATGGAGAAAATCTTCAAAAACTAAAAAGTTTCATTTAAAATTTGAATGAAACTTAACTCATGTGCCCATCTGTTTATGGAGAGTTAGCATTAAAATAAAATTACCGCTAATCTTTTGATCTAAAAGGTGTTATTTTGGAAATATAATAGGTTGCTAAAAAAAACTGCAGGCATCTCGTGAAAAACGAAAGAATAGTGCGCGTTGCTTCTAAAACATCTCAGGAATTTTCTCTTCGTGATCTTGCGTAAAAAGTGGAAAAACATGCATTTTTATCAGACGAACGCATGATTTTTTCGAGCGGATAGGCACAAGCCAAACAATGTCCGCTTAAAACATGCTTTTTCAGCCACAAACGAGTGTTTAATATTTCATTTAAATCTTGAAAAGCTGACTTTTCGAAAAAGTTTTACTTTCTGATTAAAAAGCAAATCAAAAACTACTTTTAATAACACCTAGAAATAGGGCAAATATTTCTGATCAAAATGAGATATCTTCCAGCTCTGAATGATATTCTAATCAAGAGTTATAAGAGTTTTGCTGGAAGCCCGAAACCTTGCATCAGCACTGGCGCCACCATATCCCGAAAGCACTTTCACCTTAACACCATTTTGTAGCTCAAAGGTTTCTCGGTAACGAAACATCGCAGAGAGCTTGGGAAGGTCTTAAATTGAAGCTGACACATGTGGCTAGATATAGCGCTCAATTTTTGATATTCGGTCTAGATATGTGATTAGAAAAACATCTTTACTAAAGTTAATGAGACTTTTTCGAATTTTAGACTTTTGACTCTGACTATTAATTTGAAAAGTAAAATATCAAAACCCGGTTCTATTAGCCTCTAGCCACATGTTGTTTCGTCAATTTAAGACAGCCCGAGCTCTCCATAACGTTTCGTTACTGAAAATTAAATGTCAATTTCATTTTCAATACCATGAAAATCTTTTTATCGTCTGTTAAAGGTACCCCACCACACTTTTTGGAAAAATGTCGGATTTTGAGCTGAGCATAACTTAATATAGAGGGGAGTGCGGGCTACAAAATGAGACAGCTTCCAGCATTCCACGACCTTTCTTCAAAAACTTATGCACTTTTGAATTTTTTCCTTCAAAGCTTGGAAAAACTCAATTGTTTTAGTTTCATAAAATTTTCTCTCCTTTTCTGTATATTCAAAAGTTTTTCTTACAATTACTCTGATAGAAAAAAATGTTTTCTTCATAATGAGACGTTTTCCAGAACTCTCTGATAAGTTTTCGTGGAGATATTTAGATTAATTTTTTTTCCTTTGCCAAGTTATAGGGTTTCTAAAATTGAGAAAATTGGTTTTTGAGACGGCCTTGAGTACCTCTAGTGGAATTTTTAACACGATCGGATGAAATTTAAGGGGAGGTCGTAATGTGATACAATGAAAAATCGAGTTTTCTTGAAAACTTGTGTACGGTAATAGTTAAAAACTTGAAACAAACATAAAAAAATGCTCCATTGAGTTTTCAATCAGTTCTAAAAATATAAAGCCTTAGTGATTTTTAGTTTTTATTTCACAGGATTTCTACGGAAAGCCCAAAAAGAGAGAAGGGTTGGCCTTATAGTTTTGTTGTACATAGTGACGTTAGAAACCAATGTACTGTCTCTTGGAATATTGTCTGGATTTCTACATTTTAGAACAGAATTTTTAACAATCGATTTCTGTCCGAACTAATAAAACTAACCGTATCCGTTCAATTCATGAACTAATACTTATCTATAGAGGTGTTAGCCGCGCCGCTGTTACCACCAAAAAATTTTTTTGAAATTTCATGCCGCCACAGACAGAATTTGTTTTTGTAGTTTTTCGCCGCCGCCGCTGATTCGAAACTTTTTCAAGAAAAATTTATTGAAAATTATAACTTTTTTAAAATTTTCACGCCACCTCCGCCAAAGGCGGAAAATGTTTTTTTTGTTTTTCACCACTGCCACCGATTAAGTGTTCAATTTGACACGCCGCCGCCGATAAAGTAATCGGCTAATACCTCTACTTACCTAGGATAGAAAACCATTCCAATACTATATTTTAGTTTGCTATTCTGGTTGTAAATTATATATCTTTGCTGTTAGCACAATAGGTTGGAATGTTTCCCATGACAATTTGTTCCTATTATCCATTTTTTAAAAGAATACGTTTGATTATTTATCGATTACGCAGATTTGAAATCAAGTTTTTTCCAGATAACCCGATGAACTCTATTGAGCAAGTACAAAAAAATATGTAGAAAAAGATTTTCTGCTGATATTTTGAATTTCCCTCACGTTAGTTCGTCATTTTTTTCTGTTGAAAAAGTGTGTTGCTTTCTTAACGTTTTAAAAGATGACATAGTATTCTATACTTGACTTAATTAGAATGTACCATTCATTGACTATGTTTACATATCTTTATGCACAATAATGTGTGATTTCGGTAACTGTACATGATCTATAACAGCATACGTCTAGGAGTGTTTTATCGAATGATACGAGGAAACGACGATAGCGATTAATTGTTGTTGTTGATGAGGGTCTATTGGCTCGTGTACATACAATTTTTAACATATTTAAGAGATGTTTAGTACTACATGTTTGAAAAGCACGAATCAATTGACATTGTTCAACTTTATAATATTTACCATTAATTTGAATAGTTTCATCTTCGATCATTGTTTGATTTTTATATTGGACTCTACATTGTGTACGACCATTAATTGTTTGTTCATGTTGTTTATACATAATAGAACCTCTATAACCTTTAATACGTTGAAGATAGATCGTTTGATTATTACCATTTGAAAATGATTCATAAATAATTTCTGAATTTTTTGAACTTGATACATAAGTGATTGCAGTTAGATTTATCAAAATGGCAATGATAGTAAGGTTTCTCATATTTAGTGAATAATACAGAACGTGTATCGTTTGTGTTTTTAATATATCGTCAAAAATGATGTGGAGGAATGTGTGAATAAATGAATAACAGAAAAAATTGTGTGTGAACGACACATACAATGATCTTTAGAGAATTTTTACTGTCAAAATAATTATTGTTTCGTTTCTATAAGAACTATTGTCTTCTTCCTACATTAATTTCACATATTATCGTGCTATTAATACAATTAATTTAACCAACACATTAAATAATATGTTCTTTACATATTTGAATTTATCCTCTCTATACAGAAGTTCATTAAATAAATTGAATTTATTTTTTTGCAATTTATATTCACAAGATTACTCATTACTTATGAAATACATTTTTTTCTGCCTCATAAACATTGAGTTTTAAAGATCAAGAGATATTCATTCAGATAGACACGGTTAAAACGAACATTAGATTACAACGGAAAATAAGAAGCAAGTGGAATGTCATTTGGATCGAAAGATTCTATTGATCTACAAAGTAAACGTGCCACTTCAACAGCTTTTTTTTGCGTTCTCTGACTCTGGGCTGGGCGAGTCCGAGTCAACTCGAGTCACATTTGTTTAAAGAATCTGACTTGACTCGGACTTAAAAAATTGGATGACGTTAAAATCGAGGTGTCTTTTCATAGACGTATGAGACTTACCACCCGAGCAAACTCATCAGAGATTATAATTCTTATATGGATCGATGTTCTGAAGTATTGACCATATGATAGTGAAAATCGAATCTCGATAACTTTTTTCATTCGCGAGTTATTTCAAAATCAAGAGATTAAAAAAAAAGTGTACTAAATTCGGTACGCTGGTACTCAGAGGGTTAATAATGTTAAGCAGCTTATTCATGCTTATGTTTTTTGACTGGAGTCGTTCTGAATTCATGATTTCTAATCCCAAATTCTGTGGTAATTCTCTCTTTTTCGAAGATCGGGCTCGAGTGTCTGGAATGACTGGTGCTTTATCTTCACAGATCCAACCGAAAACCAGATCTTCCTACGGTTTTCACAGACCGCGATCGATCTTCGGGACTGCTAGCATATTGATAACTTTAGTTTTCGCGGAGGTGAGTCGAACAAGTAAAAAGAAAATGTATTGCACACTATTCGAAAGAGCGTTTCAACCACTCTCGGATGTCATAAATCATCTTACTTACTTGTACATTAGTTTCTGTTATGGATCTTTCCTTTCACACGTTCTCTATCCGTCTTTCCGCAGTGAAATGCGATATATGAGCACTTGATCTACATTCTATTCACTGAGGAGGAAAACATGCAAAGGACGGGGCGATTATTTGATGAAATCGGTCCCTGCTTGAATTGCATCGACACATACATGGTTAGATACAGAATGAACACGAGAACATTTCTAGCCACTAGGCAGAAATCAGAAATGCTCTCAGAAAAAATTGGGTCCAATTAACTATAATCACTTCTGACACGTAATATTGATCATATTCTCGAATGTGTCTCTTTCGGCCTCATACCTCAGTAAAACTATCATATGTCATTCGAAAGCTCTTTTTCCGCGCTATATTTCTGTACATCACATATACCGAAATAGTCGTTCTGAGGCCAGGTATGTTTAGAAATACTTCCGTCTATGGAAAATAATCTCCTATGTGCAAACAGTCTAAGATAATCTATGACACCCTTTATCATCTAGCCACTACGATAAATATACCAGTCGATAGAGAATTTCACGCGCTACAAGTTCATACACATATGATAGTGAGAAAAGTGTCCTAGGACCTGTTGACATTAGAAAGGCTGTTTGGAAAGCCGTGAAAAGTGGACGGCTTATTCCACGGTCAGGATCCTATGATCAACGCTTCCCATCTAGCCACTACGATAGATATACCATTCGATAGACAATTCCATCCACCATCATTTCATGTATGCAACATAGTGACAAAAGTGTCCTAGGGCATCTTGACATTAGAAATACTTTCTGTAAAGCCATGAAAAGCGGCTCACTTATTCCATGGTGAGGATCCTATTATCAACGCTCCCATCTAGCCACTAGGATATATATACCAATCGATAGAGAATTTCACGCGCTACAAGTTCACGTATATATGATAGTGAAAAAAGTGTCCTAGGGCATCTTGACATTAGAAATACTTTCTGCAAAGTCGTGAAAGCGGGTGACTTATTCCACGATGAGTATCCTATGATCAACGTTTCTAAACTAGCCACTGCGATAGATATACCATTCGATAGAGAATTTCACGAGCTGTAAAATTAGCTATAAATAAATCTTTCAGAAATATGTTCACATGGGTCAACAGTTGAAATACTTAGCCGATATAATGATTTTGACGTATCCTAGTGCTTTCAACATTCCGTTAGTCGTTTTTCTGCCATAATGAAAGTTAAGTATTGTTCGAAAACATACCACTGGATAGCCCTAGAAGTTCTCTAGACAGTGAACTGGTCACAATATCCAGAAAGGTCGGGTCAGGCATTAAAGATATGGAAAAGAAGCTTTTGGAGGTTATCTAAGCACTACAGTGTGTCGTAATCACAAGAACTCTCTTGTTTTTGACCTTTTAGTAAAAGCTGGAATCAATCTGAATAATGTTTCGAATAGCCCGAAGATTTTTCTACCGGATTAGGTGCATATCGGCCTTTCATAAGGGAAGTCGATAATAGAGCTTCTGGGAAACCTGACCGCTGAAAAACCAAGTCCTTAGTTTGACTGAGAAAATTTTGTAAGCCATATAGCCTGATAGAACGAAAAATTCTGAGCAAAATAAGACTTCTCCGGGCATTCTATAGTACTTTTTCACGCGACTGCAGTCGCCTTACCACTAGGGGTGTGACAGTTCAAGCTCGTGAACTGTGAGTAAATGTAGTAAAGAGCTGGTGACCATCTCCAGTTCGTACTCATGTGAGCTGTTGATCAGCTCCAGCTCCTACTCATGTGAACTGTTAACCA